AGACCAAGAATGCACCCATCATCATATTTTTAAATAGAAACGTTCTTTTTAAATGTATTTAGGGTCAACATGGGAAAAGTACTGTTGAATGACTTTTTAATATACAATTAAAGACTAGATGAGAGCAGCTGTACAATGGATCCTAAATTGCGAGTGATGTCCTTTACCACCTTTTCTGTCTGGTTTTCTGTAAATGTTAGGTGTTCCCGGGCTGTGCTTTCTCTAAGCACTGGGTGATTTTTTTATCAGAATTCAGAGGCATTGAAGCATATGGAAGCATAAAGTGAGTTCTGTGGATTGCTTTGCCTTGTCAAACTAATATAGATACATATTAACTGTAGAAGTAGATGATACAGATATCGATAACATGGATAAAAATATAGATATATCCCAAGACTCTCCACAATGAATGACGTATTTCCATTCAGTGTTCTATGAGTTACTTTAATTTCAGGCAAATTGTTACACATTTTTTCTTAGAAAAGAAAGAGCATAAATATTTTGGACTTCAATGCCATATTATCTCTTTCATAGCTAATCAACCCTTGGTCGCACCATGAAAGTAGTCATTAACCATTAAAACTTACTTTGCAATGAACAAACTTAATTTTATGTCATTCTCCTGGTTCATTCAATATCATATAATTTTTTAATCATTTAATATTGTGAAAATCATTTTTACTCTATAAATGACACAAATATAAATATTTGTTATAATAATATCTGATATGATTTTTAAGAACTCATAATTTATACGTATAGAACATATTTTATATATATAATTCAGAATTTATGTAACATATATATGTGTGTATTGCTATAGCTAACATTAGTTATTAGCTGTAGAATATGTAGAATTAATTTGGAGACGAAGAGACAAACTTCTGAGAATGTCTGTGGGGCAGTTTTCCAGATTTGTTAATTGCAGAGAGCTCACCATAAATATGGGTAGAGCAAGCCATGTACTGGGGTCCTGTATTAAATAATAAAAAAAAAATAAACGTGAGCTAAGCACCAGTGTTCACACCTCTCTGCTTCCTGGCTGTGGGTGTAATGTGACCAGCTGCCTCAGGCTCCCACCACAATGCTTTTCCTGACACAATACATTCAAACCATGAGCCAGAGTACAAATTTTTTCCCTTTAGTTGCATTTGTCTCCAATTTTTCACAGTTGTGAGCAAAGTAAGTAATACATTATGAAATAACACAAGCTCTCAAGCAATCCATGATAAAGTTTTACCACTGAACCTTAGAGAAAGCATAAGAAGAAGAAGAAAAAAAGAAAGCATGGACCATCGACCAACCTTCCATCTTAAAAAAAAAAGTTACCACGTGCATTTAGCTCTCCTATATAAGCTTCACTTCCTTTATTTTTAATGGGCAGCTAAAAATATGGAGATACTAAGGAAGTTTTGAAAAAGTCATATGGGAACCTAAGGTTTTATACCATTACTAAAATTGTACTACCAGCACTTTTTGAATGGAGATAAGCTATGAGAAGGGTAATACTCCTGTAAGAAGCCATAGGTTACTGGAACTTGCAGTATCAGATACATATATCTTTCTTTAAATTGTTGAGTAAGAGGGTCCCAAAGACTTACAACATTTCAGGCTATTTTACCATTGCTTCTGGTTGCCCATTAGAACTTTATGGTAAAACCTACACCTGAAGACACCACACACTTTGGTGAAGGAACACATAAAGAAAACAAGTTACTACTGAGCTGGAGCTTTCCTCTTTGAGGGCTAGCTTGCACAGTGCTGACAGGTATGATGTGGGCTTCTGGGTGAAAAACATCATCAGTATTAATAAATTATGTCAGCTACAATAATGACCGGTTTGACAAAACATGTCCATTGGTACAATACTATAGGAATAATGAACTGCTTTTTAAAATTATTATTACATTTAATGTCTGCTCCACAACAGAGAACTCATGGTTCATATTATGAGGTTGGTCAGAAAGTTGTGTCTCAATCATTATAAGCCATAGGGAGAATCTGCTGCTGTTAGTTTGCTAAGTGGATATAATATCAAACTTACTTGTAAATATTTACCTTTGTACCTATAGATTTATGAAACTATGTCCATTAATCAGAATCTTTTTGCCATGGGCATGGTTAATGCATACTCACAGATGGTCCAAGTACAGAGAATAAGTATTCATGCCTAAACAGACATCCATATCATGTATCCCTTCTCTAACACTGAGGAAGTATAGCAGAAAAGAAGGTGTGAAGTTTGTAAGCTTAAGATCTTGGGGAGGACTGTTGAAGATCAGTATCTTCTGTACATGACATGACAATCATTAACACACAGCACTTGTCACCTGTACAAGATAAGAACAGTCAAAACTTCAGCATGGATGGGAGAGAGGGCGTACCAAACTCCATACAGGGCCCCATCCCTCTGGAATGGGGGCATTCCAGATAAGGACTAATATGGGAGAACAATTTTTCTCAGGGCTGTGACTTTGTATAGGTTGTCTGTGCTCTCATAAATGGTTCTACATCAATGAATACTGGCAGCACTAACTGGACTCAGTTGATTTTTTTAAGTGAAAAAATGACACAAAGTTGGAAGGATGAGCAAAAGAACATATTGAGAGAGGTCTGGATAATTGGAGATGACTGATTGGATATAGATATGATAAAATAGATTATATACATGTATGGAATCTAAAAACGATGAATAAATAGTATTTTGTGATTTTTCTAATGGAAATAGAACTGCTTAGGAAAGGTGACATCTGTCTTACATTACAATAAATACAACCACTAAATCTTCCATTTACTGCTTGTGTCTTCAAATTCTATTACTCACACCAGTAATTGTAGTTCTTGTCCTTGGTCTTGCATTAGAATTTAATGAAGGTTTAAAATGTAAAGGTAAAGTTAAATCCTGGCCCAACTGGGAATGAGACAAAGATACAGTATTTTCAAGTTCGCTAATGTACCACTAAGATCAAATCTGGCCTTCTTTAGTCTTGATACTTTTTAAACTCACAGTTTTGTGAGGTCATGCTGAAGGACCCCAACTCGTTTTAACCACAGTTATACCATTTTGCAAAGGTTTGCAGATAACAAGCTTGATTAAGGGCCTCCAGAGTTCAGGACCTCCGGAATGCTGAGCAGATAACAAGCTTAATTAAGGGCCTCCGGAATTCAGGGCCTCCGGAATGCTGAGCAAAGATACCTGAGGTTAGAGCAAGGACAGCCTTATCTGGCTGCAAGACAGGAGATTTATGGACTGATCACAAAGAAAGAGAGGATTGCGAGGCCTGAGTCACGTATAAAGCGGGGCTCGTCACGAGTCAGGGGCTGTGCAATCAGACATCTGGTCGCCAGCCAGGAAAGGGGGGGGCAGGATAAGAGGAACAGTAAACCACTGAGTAGTCCCCTCATTGTTATTTAGGTTAAGAATTTACCACCCTGCATCTTGCTTCTGTAAACCTCGCTTTTTGCTCTCCTATAAAAACCCCTCACCCCCAACCTGCGGCGCGCAAGTCCTCCGAGAGACTTTGCCGCCCCAGGTACCTGCGTATCCAATAAACCTCTTGCCGTTTGCATCTGGCTGCGTGTATTCGACTGATCTTTGGGCACGGGGTCTCTCCCAAAAGGGAGACGTGCACGGGAGTCTTTCATTTGGTGCATTGGCCGGGACTTGAGACCCCCCCATCCCAGAGACCGCCGAATCACTGCCAGGAGGTAAGCTGGCCAGCATTCTATGTTCTATGTTCTATGTTCTATGTTCTATGTCCTGTATGTCTTTCGCGTCTGAGTGTTGCGCTGTGAATTTGAAATTTGTTCGATTCAGCTGAGTCGGTTTGTATTGGGCGGGCCTCGGAAAGGAGCTGACGAGTTCAAACTTTCCCCCCCGCACCCCGGAAGACGTTCCGAGGGAGTTTTGGAGCCCGATTTTTTGGGGATCATTTGTCTGAACCCACGACCAGAGTCGGACTGTTGTTCGAGAGGTACGAGGTTCATTTGGGAGGCAAGGTGTCTGGAGCCTCTTCGTAACCTCCGTTCGTGCAGCGTGTTTGGTTGTCGGTCTGTTCGTCCTATTGTGCATCTTTGTGGGTTGTCTGTTTGTTTATTGGAATACCAGCATGGGGCAGTCTTTAACTACCCCTTTAAGCCTTACTCTAGATCACTGGTCAGACGTCTCTAAACGAGCGAGCAATCAAACGCTAGAAGTCAAGAAGAAAAAGTGGCAGAGCTTCTGTTCCTCGGAATGACCCACATTCAACGTGGGCTGGCCCAGGGACAGCACTTTCAACAAGAATGTTATTTTGCAGGTCAAGGAACAAGTCTTCGACAAAGGGCCCCGTGGACGCCCTGACCAGGTCGCTTATATCGTTACTTGGGAGAGTTTGACTAATGACCCATCCCCCTGGGTGGCCCCCTTTATTTCTCCAGAGAAATCCCAACCCTCCCTAGGTCTCGCTCCTTTGGCCCCGAATCCTCCCCTGCCTTCCCCTCCTCCACCTTCCCTATCAAAGACCCCCACCCCTACGGTCTCCTCCCTTTATCCTGCACTGACGAAGGAGGAGACCCCCAAACTACATGGAAGACCGAAGGAGACCCATAAGCAGCCATCTGTCCTTCCCCCTGACCCAAATTCCCCTCTTGTCGACCTCCTATCCGAAGATCCTCCCCCCTACAACCCCCAGCAGGAGCCCGGAAATAATGAAGCGGATCCTGCAATGCCCTCGCCCTCGTCACGGAGCTCCCCACCTACTGCCTCCCCTGTTGCGAGCAGGCTCCGGGGAAAGCGTGAACCGTCTCCCCCGGACTCCACCTCCCAAGCATTTCCCCTGCGACAGGGAAATAACGGCCAGTTTCAATACTGGCCCTTTTCCGCCTCTGATCTATACAATTGTAAACAACACAATCCTCCTTTTTCCAAGGATCCTATGGCATTAACTAGCTTAATAGAGTCTATTCTGCTTACACACCAACCAACCTGGGACGATTGTCAACAGCTTCTACAGACCCTCCTCACTTCTGAGGAAAAACAAAGGGTCTTCATAGAGGCACGAAAGCAGGTTCCCGGAGAAGATGGGAGGCCAACCCAGTTGCCCAACGAGATTGATGCTGCCTTCCCCCTCACCAGGCCTGACTGGGATTTTACTACGATCGCAGGTAGGACACACCTACGCCTTTATCGCCAGTTGCTCATAGCGGGTCTCCGAGGGACTGGTTGTCGCCCCACAAATTTGGCACAGGTAAAGCAAACGATTCAAGGGGCAGATGAGTCTCCAGCAGCTTTTTTAGAAAGGCTTAAGGAAGCATATCGTATGTATACGCCTTATGATCCCGAGGACCCAGGGCAGGCTAACGGCTTGTCGATGTCCTTTATCTGTCAGTCAGCACCTGACATCAGGAACAAATTACAGGGGTTGGAGAAATTGCAGGGATATACGCTACAGGATCTACTTAAGGAGGCAGAGAAAATCTTCAACAAAAGGGAGACTCAAGAAGAAAGGGAGGACCGCATCCGTAGAGAGAAAGAAGAAAGGGAAGATAGATTGAGAAGGGAAGCAGAGGAAAAGGAGGAGGCTAGAGATAGAAAAAGGAATAGGGAATTGAGCCGCCTCTTGGCCGCCGCAGTTCAGAACCAGGAAAGTTGACAGGGAGATAGGATGGGAGAACGGAGAGGCCCTCGCGTGGAACGCGACCAATGTGCCTACAAAAAGGAAAGAGGACACTGGGCGAAAGACTGCCCTAAAAATACTCGTAAACCCAGAGGCCCCAAACCACGAGCCTCACTCCTGGCCCTAGATGAAGACTAGGGAGGTCAGGGCCAGGAACCCCCCCTCTGAGCCCAGGTTAACACTTGATGTCGGGGGGCAGCCGGTTACTTTTCTAGTAGATACTGGAGCTCAGCATTCGGTTCTTACCCAGTCACCTGGACCGCTCAGTGAACGGACCGCTTGGGTACAAGGAGCCACCGGTGGAAGACAATATCGCTGGACCACTGAGAGGAAGGTGCAATTAGCAACTGGTAAAGTAACTCATTCCTTCCTACATGTTCCAGACTGCCCCTATCCATTACTGGGGTGAGACTTACTCACCAAACTGAAAGCCCAAATTCATTTTGAGGGGGCAGGGGTTCGAGTGTCGGGCCCAAACGGGGACCCCCTCCAGGTCCTGACTTTACAATTGGAGGACGAATACTGGCTATACGAACAGGACCCCAAGGTACAAGGGTCCAGGGACTTGGACATATGGCTTACAGAGTACCCACAGGTATGGGCCGAGACAGGAGGTATGGGGCTAGCGCTACAGCAGCCCCCGTTGGTTGTAGCCCTGAAGGCCTCAGCCACCCCAATCTCAGTCAAGCAATACCCCATGTCAAATGAGGCCTACCAGGGGATAAGACCTCATATCAAGAGGCTATTAGAAGAAGGCATCCTGACTCCCTGCCGGTCACCTTGGAAAACCCCCCACCTCCCAGTAAAGAAACCAGGGACGAAGGATTATCGACCGGTACAGGACCTCAGGGAAGTAAATAAGAGAGTTGAAGACATACACCCGACCGTCCCTGATCCATATAATTTACTAAGCACCCTGCCACCTTCGCACACCTGGTATATGGTGCTAGACTTGAAGGATGCCTTCTTCTGTCTCAGATTAAGCCCCAAAAGTCAACCCCTTTTTGCCTTCGAATGGAGAGACCCCGAATTGGGGATTTCAGGCCAACTGACGTGGACCCGGCTCCCACAGGGCTATAAGAATAGCCCCACCCTATTTGATGAGGCCTTGCACCGGGACCTTGCAGACTTCAGAGTTCAACACCCGTCATTGATCCTGTTCCAGTACGTGGATGATCTTCTGCTGGCAGCCCCCACAGAACATGACTGCCGACAAGGTACGGGGGCCCTATTGCAGACCCTGGGACGGCTGGGCTATCGAGCATCTGCCAAAAAGGCCCAGATATGCCAGACTGAGGTGACTTATTTGGGATATAAGTTAAAAAAGGGACAGCGTTGGCTCACAGTCGCACGCAAAGAGACTGTATCTCGCATACCTGCACCCCGAAACCCTCGCCAGTTAAGGGAATTCCTGGGGACAGCTGGGTTCTGCCACTTATGGATACCAGGCTTCGCTGAAATGGCAGCTCCCCTCTATCCCCTCACCAAGCAGGGGGTCCCATTTGAATGGACAGATAAACAACAAGGGGCTTTCGAGAACATCAAACGGGCCCTCCTCTCCTCCCCAGCACTGAGTCTGCCAGACATCACTAAGCCATTCGAACTGTTTGTTGATGAAAAACAAGGATATGCCAAGGGGGTTTTGACCCAAAGACTTGGACCATGGAAACGCCCTGTCACATATTTATCAAAGAAATTAGACCCAGTGGCCTCAGGCTGGCCCCCTTGCCTACGGATGGTGGCAGCCATTGCCGTCCTTATTAAGGATGCTGGCAAACTGACTTTGGGACAACCCTTGACCATTCTGGCACCCCATGCTGTCGAGGCCTTGATTAGGCAGCCCCCTGACCGGTGGCTCTCCAACGCCCGCATGACCCACTACCAATCCTTGCTGTTGGATACGGACCAAGTCCAGTTCGGACCTGTAGTCGCCCTTAATCCGGCGACCTTGCTACCCACACCGGAAGGACCAGACCAGCATGACTGCCTTCAGATCCTCGCAGAAATGCATGGAACCCGGACGGACTTGACTGATCAGCCCCTCCCAGATGCGACCACACCTGGTACACCAATGGGAGCAGTTACCTACTAAATGGAGAACGCAGGGCGGGAGCCGCAGTTACCACGGAGACCCAGGTAATCTGGGCCAGTGCCTTACCCAGTGGCACCTTGGCCCAACGAGCTGAACTCATCGCTCTGACTCAAGCCCTTAGATTGGCAGAAGGTAAGAAGCTGAATGTTTATACTGATAGTCGGTATGCTTTCGCCACTGCACACATACATGGAGAAATATACCAGAGACGAGGGCTCTTAACCTCAGAAGGCAAGGAAATTAAAAATAAAGCAGAGATCCTTGCTCTATTAGAGGCCTTATTCCTCCCCAAAAGACTGAGCATTATGCATTGTCCCGGACACCAAAAAGAAGATCACGCCGAGGCCAGATGAAATCGGCGGGTGGATGAAGTGGCCCGAGAGGCTGCTTTGGGACCACAAATTCTCCCCCTAGTATCCGAGCCCGTCCAATCCACAATAGACTGGGCCTATGATAAAGAGGACATACACCTACTCCAAAAATTGGGGGCAGAATACAACTCAGCGAATAGACACTGGATTTATCGGGGAAAAATAGCAGTGCCCATAAAAATAACCCATGAACTTATAGACTACTTACATAAATTGACCCATTTGGGTACAAAGAAAATGAAAACCCTCCTAGACAGAATGGAGACTGGACAATTCCTCCTGAACAGGGATAGGGCACTCCGACGGACAATAGACAATTGCAGGGCCTGTGCCCAAATTAATACAGGCCACTAGAAAACCCTCCAAGGGGTGCGTCTCCGAGGACACCGGCCTGGCATCCACTGGGAAATAGACTTCACCGAAATTAAACCTGGTTTGTATGGGTACAGATACTTGCTGGTTTTTATAGACACCTTTTCAGGATGGGTAGAGGCCTATCCCACCAAACATGAAACAGCCAGGATGGTTGTCAAGAAGTTATTGGAAGAAATTTTTCCCCGATACGGGATGCCAAAAGTATTGGGATCTGATAATGGGCCAGCCTTCGTCTCCCAGGTAAGTCAGTTGGTGGCCAAGTTACTGGGGATTGATTGGAAATTACATTGTGCTTATAGACCCCAGAGTTCAGGACAGGTAGAGCGTATGAACAGAACTATTAAGGAGACTTTGTCTAAATTAACGCTCTCTACTGGCACAAAGGATTGGGTGTTGCTCCTACCCCTAGCTCTATATCGAGCTAGGAACACTCCTGGGCCACATGGCCTTACCCCATTTGAAATATTGTATGGGGCACCGCCTCCAGCCGTACATTTCTTCGATACGGACATTGCAGACTATGCTAACTCCCCTTCTCTACAAGCCCATTTACAGGCCCTGCAGCTGGTACAACAAGAGGTCTGGAAACCCCTGGCAGCAGCCTACCAAGACAGCCTCAACCAGCCAGTGGTGCCCCATCAGTACCAGATTGGAGACACTGTTTGGGTCCGTAGACATCAGACCAAGAACCTGGAACCGCGCTGGAAAGGACCGTTCACTGTTCTCCTGACCACCCCAACGGTGATTAAGGTGGATGGAATTGCTGCCTGGATCCACGCCTCACACGTGAAAGTCACCAGCCCAGAACAACAGACGGCCAGCCAAAAGGAAGGATGGAAGATCCAATGCTCCCAAAACCCCTTAAAGATAAGACTGGTTCGAAAATGATATTATGGGCAGTAATCTCTCCCATGTTGATCTTGGGATCCATGGGGGCTCCTAATGAAAGCCCCCACGCAATTTATTCCCTAACTTGGCAGATTATTTCCCAGACTGGGGAGGTAGTCTGGAAGACGACAGGCCAACATGCCCTCAATACCTGGTGGCCTCCCCTCACCCCGGATTTTTGCCAGCTAGCTGCGGGACTAGACTCTTGGGACATAGCCACCACTGACCATAGTCAATTAGCGAGAAGCATGCCGGCAATGGGGGGAGGATCTGTAGGCTGCTCCAACCCCGGGCGAAGATGTCGATTAGCAAAGGCCGACTTTTATGTCTGCCCCCGGGATGGCCGAGATCGAGCTACGGCTTACAAATGTGGGGGATATAATGAAATGTTCTGTGCGGCTTGGGGATGTGAAACGACTGGGGATGCCTACTGGAAACCCCATTCCAGCTGGGATAAGATCAGGGTGACCCGCGGCTGGAAGAAAAAGAGATGGGATGAGGAGTACTTTAGAGAATATTGCCAGCTCTCCAAATGTGGAACTGATGGAAAATGTTTGCCCCTCAATATCACCTTCACTGAACAGGGTAAAAAGGCCACTGAATGGCAACAAGGGTATACTTGGGGGCTCAGATGGTACTTGGAGTCCACAGACAGGGGGTTAGTTTTCAAGATACAGCTTAAAGCTGAGGCCATAGTGCCCCGGTCAATAGGACCCAATCAGGTCCTGGAAAATCAGAAGCCCCCATCTTTACCCAAAGCGCCAGATACCCCTCGCCTGACTAACCTTACTACTGCTCCCACCACCACCTTTATCCCCCCAGCAGCCACAATTGAGCAGGAAAGAGGAACGGGAGATCGTCTTTTAGACCTCATCAGGGGGGCTTACCAGGCCTTAAATCACTCGGACCCGGATCGGGCCCACGATTGCTGGCTCTGCCTTAACCCAAGCCCCCCATATTATGAGGGGATAGCTCTCAGGGGCAACTATAGCAATGTCACCTCGCCACCCCCCATCTGCCAGAGCATGAACCATCATCTAACCCTCACTCAGGTGACAGGTACTGGAGTTTGCATAGGAGCTGCTTCTGGCCAGCCCTTTTGCATTTCAACCGCGCCCATTATCAAGGGAAACTATTATCTAGTCCCACCAAATGGGACCCTCTGGGCCTGTAATACCAGCCTAACCCCCTGTGTTTCGGCAGTAGTATTCAACCAAACGCATGAATATTGTGTCTTGGTACAAATTTGGCCGCGCGTCACGTACCACTCAGATGAGGCGGTCCTCCAATATTATGAATACCTTCCCCGAAGGGAAAGATGGGAAGCTATTACCCTGACCCTGGCCGTACTCTTAGGGGTGGGGGGCGTTGCGGCAGGGATAGGTACGGGGGCTGCCGCTCTAGTACACATGGACCAATATATGCTTTTACATCAAGCTATGAATGAAGACCTACGGGCTCTTGAGAAGTCGGTTAGAACCCTGACGGAATCAGTAGCTTCCCTGTCAGAGGTGGTACTACAAAATAGAAGAGGACTAGATCTGCTCTTTCTAAAGGAGGGAGGCCTTTGTGCGGCCTTAAAGGAAGAATGTTGTTTTTATACCAATAAAACCGGCATAGTGACTGAAACTCTAGATAAACTAAAAGAAAGGCTAGAAAAACGTAAAAAAGAATTTGAAGCCCAGCAGACATGGTACGAAGGGCTTTGGAACCGATCCCCATGGTTCACTACCTTAATCTCTTCTCTAATGGGACCTATAATCCTCTTGATGTTAATTCTTACAGTTGGCCCTTGCATTGTAAATCGGTTGATTCAATTTATTAAGGACAGACTTTCAGTCATTCAAACCCTGGTCTTAACCAGCCAGTACCAAAAATTGAGCCAAAGTGAGAAAGAGATCCTATAAATACTTGAGTAAAAGGTTTTACTCCATGATAAAAACAAAAAAAATGGGGGAATGAAGGACCCCAACTCGTTTTAACCACAGTTATACCGTTTTGCAAAGGTTCGCAGATAACAAGCTTGATTAAGGGCCTTCGGAGTTCAGGACCTCCGGAATGCTGAGCAGATAACAAGCTTAATTAAGGGCCTCCGGAATTCAGGGCCTCCGGAATGCTGAGCAAAGATACCTGAGGTTAGAGCAAGGACAGCCTTATCTGGCTGCAAGACAGGAGATTTATGGACTGATCACAAAGAAAGAGAGGATTGCGAGGCCTGAGTCACGTATAAAGCGGGGCTCGTCACGAGTCAGGGGCTGTGCAATCAGACATCTGGTCGCCAGCCAGGAAAGGGGGGGCAGGATAAGAGGAACAGTAAACCACTGAGTAGTCCCCTCATTGTTATTTAGGTTAAGAATTTACCACCCTGCATCTTGCTTCTGTAAACCTCGCTTTTTGCTCTCCTATAAAAACCCCTCACCCCCAACCTGCGGCGCGCAAGTCCTCCGAGAGACTTTGCCGCCCCAGGTACCTGCGTATCCAATAAACCTCTTGCCGTTTGCATCTGGCTGCGTGTATTCGACTGATCTTTGGGCACGGGGTCTTTCCCAAAAGGGAGACGCGCACGGGAGTCTTTCAATGAAAACATTGCGATGTTGGTCATTAGCTAAGCTGGACTTTTTCTTCTTGGGCTTTAGTAGCCTTCGCTTCAGCTCCTCTTCTTACCTCACCACGTTTCCTAACATTTTACTGCTAATTTCTATCATGTCTCTGAGTCTTGCAATGCCATCACCTCCAATCTGTACTCTTTTCTCCTCAATCGTATTTTACATTACATCAAGAATTAGAAATGGATCTCTGTGTGGGAACGCTGGTACAGACAGATGTCCAGGCTGAGAAAAGTAAAACTAGGGACACAACGACATCTTTAGGGATAATGAGAGAAAGCATAAATAAGAGTGCTATACAGAATTCTAGCCCTCCTGCCTCAGGATAGAAGTTACTCAATAAGAAGTCCCACTAATGTTGAGCAAATGAGGTCTACTGAAGGGCAAATGGACCAGCCACAATGAAGAATGCTGCTCTCTGTATTCCAAGAATAGAAAGTCTGGAGTCACTGTGATGTGAGAAGTGCAATGCCACTTGAAAAGGCAGAGGGACAGTTTTGTCATTTTTCTCAGCATTGTATAATCTACCATTTCTTGATGTGTTTGCTGATTTGTACAAACACTTCCTGTCCACTCTCCTTGCACATGAAGCTCCTTGACCTTGAACTCACTCTGGCAGCATGAATGCTCCTAAGAGGCCAGTCTGACTCATACCAAACCAACCTAGCTCACCTTTATAGGCATCTTCTCTTCCCAGGTCTTCAGACAGAAAGGTAAGGTGAAACCTAAGTCACTAAAAGGTAACTCAAAATTAGGATCTTTGATTGACACTGGATCCATAAATTTGGTATTCCAGTGTGTGGCAGTTGTTCATGGACCTTGTATTAAATGTCGAAGTGGTGGTGGCTAAGATGCTATCAGTTAATATTATCTCAGAGACATGACACCATATGACACCATATCACACATGTCATGGATTTTAATATTAGATAAAATCTGCTAACTTTCATGTGCTTATGACAAGACACTTTTTTCAATTATTTATTTATTTATTAAAAATTTCCACCTCCTCCCCTCCTCCCAATATCCTCCCACTCTCCCCACTCCTTCTCCCCATCCCCCTCCAGTCCTAAGAGCAGTCAGGTTTTCCTGCCCTGTGGGAAGTTCAAGGTCCTCCCAGTTCCCTTCAGGTCTAGGAAGGTGAGCATCCAGACTAGGCTCCCACAAAGCCAGTCCATGCAGTAGAATCAAAACTCAGTGCCATATGACAAGACACTTTTTTACATCTTCAGAATATTTCTTCTGACATTGTAAAGGCAAATCTCTTATGACTTTTTACCCTTTCTCCTGACATACCTTTTCCTCTTTCAATATGTTTCCTATTTATTTTGTTTGTTGCTTTTTAAGAGAATTTGCAAAACTTTGCTTTTCAGCAATCAACAGATTGAAAATCCATCCTGAATATATCTCTAGACATAGCTAGGTGAACAACAAATTTAAAATGAATACACTATTTCCTTTTTTTGTTTTGTTTTGTTTTGAAGCTAAAAAAATCATTGTTTAAAGGCAACATATGGTTTAGTAAAAATTCTCTGCCTGCTGCTGAGAGCTAAGCTTGCAGGAAACATGTAAACAACTTAGATGATATATTTGTCTTGTCTTGACCTTTATGAGGGTGTCAACATTGCTTTTCCTATTATATTTTTAGGAATAAAAAATAGTTTTAAAATCAAAGATAAATAATTTTACAAAAATGGCTCATTTACTATCTGCTCTTTATAGTTCAAAGAGGCATTGGAATTATAAAATTATGTAAATCATGGTAATGATGTCTTAAAATGCATTTCCATTATTAAGAGGTTAATTAGAACAGTCCAAATCTTGGTGGTTTTGCTACTGTTCAGTTTCTATCAAGTCTCAGATCTTACAGATGCTAAGTTCTGAGCACACCTTAAGAAGGATGAAGCAAAGAAAAAAATCACAAAATTCAGAAAGAAAGCTTTCCAAAAGTGAAAAAGCTCTGATATCTTCTTCTCCTCTAAACCCTGGAATAAGGCTGCTCATGATAATGAAGTGAAAAAGCTTCTTAATTTTGATTTTGTAATAAAGGAATTTTACTATCACCCTTTTAGGGTTTTCAAAGAGATCTGAGAATTAAATTGGTGCAAGGCAGATTAGCTGAAGAAAACATACAAATTTAATATATGTTTTGTGACTCTGCACACCTCCCTAACAGTGGATAAACCCAAAGGTTTTCCTTTAAAGTAGAGAAAAAGAGGCAGTTGTTTAGACAGTACCTAAAGCATATATGGGGACTAAAGAAAAATTAGACTTAAGAGGTTTTATCCTCCTCACGATTCTCCACTGGCATATGCCTTCTTCTAATGGTTGAGAATATTTTTCCATGAAAGATTTATTTGTTTTTGAAAAAATAAGAATGCGCTTCATGGCCTA